CCGCCCGCCCGACCCGACCCGCCCGTTAGGGTCCGGTCACGGTCACGGTCACGGTCGCGGTCACGGTCACGGTCACGGTCACAGTCACGGTCACGGTCACGGTCACGGTCACGGTCACGGTCACGGTCACGGTCACGGTCGCGGTCACGGTCACGGTCACGGTCACAGTCACGGTCACGGTCACGGTCACGGTCACGGTCACGGTCGCGGTCACGGTCACGGTCACGGTCGCGGTCACGGTCACGGTCACGGTCACGGTGGTCACGGTCACGGTCACGGTCACGGTCACGGTCACGTTCACGGTCACGGTCACGGTCACGGTCACGGTCGCGGTCACGGTCACGGTCACGGTCACGGTCACGGTCACGGTCACGGTCACGGTCACGGTCACGGTCACGGTCGCGGTCACGGTCACGGTCACGGTCACGGTCACGGTCACGGTCACGGTCACGGTCACGGTCACGGTCGCGGTCACGGTCATGGTCACGGTCACGGTCACGGTCACGGTTCCCTTCTTCTTCTTCCCGCGCACGCCAGCCTGCGCTGCAGGACGGTCGCGGTCGCGGTCGCGGTCGCGGTCGCGGTTGCGGTCACGGTCACGGTCACGGTCACGGTCACGGTCACGGTCACGTCCCTTCTTCTTAACATAAAGGAAGAAGGCGAACGTGACTTGATCCAGCGCCGCACTCGAAATGTAGGTAGATATGCATGCATGCATGCATGCATGCATGCATGCATGCATGCATGCATGCATGCATGTATGTATGTATGTATGTATGTATGTATGTGTATAGTTAAATGTATAGTTATAAACAAACGGGGGTTCCAAGGGGACCCAGACCCCCCATAGAGAATGTGGGGCCCGGCAGCCTTTCTCCATGGGGGGACCACGGCTCCAGGACTCCCCGTTCCCGGTCCAAAACGGCCTAGATAAGACCTCCAAGGCGGCCAAGATGGCCGATGATGGCTTCAGAGATGCCTCCAAGATCGCTAAGATGGCCTCAAGAGAGCCCAAGATGACCCCACTATGCACCCTATGCGGCCCAATATGGGGTCCAGATGCCTCTAGATAGCCTCCGAGGCGGCCAAGACGCCTCCAACACATCCCGTTGGAAAGCCCAAAGAAGCTAACATCATAGATTTTCCGTTGGTTTTGAATGATTTTTGTTTTTTTCTTCGGCCTGCCGACGGTCCAGATGGCCTAGGAGGCTCCCAAGATAGGACTCAACACGCCTGAGATTGCCTTCAAGACTGCCCCGAAACGCTCCAAGCGGGCTCGAAGACGGCGAAGACAGGCCTCAAAGACGACTTCTGGCAGCGTCCGACGGGCCAGGGATGTTTTGAGACAGCCAAGCAGGCCTCCAAGAAGCCCCCGAAAACCCCCAAGAAGCCCAGGGAGATCCCAAGAGGCCTCCAAGACGCCCCCAGGAAGCTCCCAGGAGGCACCCACCGGGGGGGCCCCAGGGCTGGCCAGCACCCTTCTACGACGGTGCCACCCCGCCCCGGGGCGCCCGCGAGACCCCGCGCTGGCTCAAGATCGCTCCCAAAACTCGGGCCGGACGAAAGAGGGGGATTGGGAAAGGGGGGGGGTACGAAATCTGCTGCATGCAGCTGGTTTCGTCCCCACCGAGGGGCCCATTCCTCGATACATGGGCGCCTCCGGCGCCGGGAGGCGCCGGGAAAATCAGCTACGTGAGCTGATTCTCACCCCTCCCTTTGCTATCCCCTCCTTTCGCCCGACCTGAGAAGCTGCGCCCGGGCGGCGAGGCGCCCGACCTGGTGGTCGCGGAGCTTCTGGGCTACACCGCGAGCGAGGATGTTTTGAGCGAGGATGTTTTGAGGCCCGAAAAACGTCCAAGATAGTCTCCGGGCACCCAGGAGGCTCCCAAGAAGAGGTTCCCAGCCTGCCCCGCGAGCGCTCCAAGACGGCTGCGCGTGACATCCCGAGGGCCCCCGAGACGCCCCAGGAGCCACAAGAGAGCCCCAGGAGGCTCCTCATGACGGCCAGGCGAGGCCACAAAATCGTTGAACTCTTTTGGGAATTCCTTTTTTTCCAGCTTCCACCGCGTCGAAGACAGCCCAAGGTACCCTCAAAGTCGTCCCAGCACGGCCCAAGAGTTCCCTAAGGAGGCCCCGAGACGGCTAAAGATGGCTGAAGATAGCCCCAATACAGACGGCCCAAGAGGCCTCCAAGACTCTCTCTTTCCTCCTCCCTCCTTCCTCTTTCCTCCTTTCTTTTTCTCTTCCTCGCCCTCCTCCTTCTCCTTCGCCTCCTCCTTCTCCTTCTCTTCCTGGAGAATCGCATTGCGAACAGGAATGTCACCCGACTGACCTCGCACTGCTCAGCTTCCTCCTTGTTCTCTTTCTCCTCCTCGCTCCTTCTCGTCTTCCTCTCTCCTTCACACATTGTTTTGTGTAACTGTTCCGAGGACTCAGTCGTGCGTAGTCGAGTGCGCAGCTCACATGCTATTCGTCGGGAGCTCGCCTAGCCAAGTTGGGT